TAATTATTAGTATTTTTTTAATTATTTTTACTAGAAAACAACAATTTGATATTGAAAAAAAAGGGCACAACTACCACTAATGGAGCATGGTAAGTTTTATTATTTTAGTCTAAAGCCATTTGCTAAACAAAATTCACATGCCATTAAATAGCCAGCCATGTTCCTCTTTCAGCAATCACCCACTTCCATGTGGAAGCTGCAAATTGCAATATTAAAAATACATGGCTTTATGGTCCAATTATGTTAATAACTTCGCCCCCTTGAAAAGATTTATTAAACCTAACCCAAGCCAACATCCAAATCATAGGGTGGTCTAGATCCATTGTTTGTTTTATTTTTTTAATTTTAAAGTAATATTATTTTGATTTTCTTAGATAAATCAAGTCTTAATCAAATATTAATTAATGTCTTATTTTTTGAACTTGACGCAGATCAAATCCCATGTCAATCAGTTTATTAGTGGACCTGAATTTAAGAAAATATTGTTTCTATGACTTTATGGGGTGGGTTCAGATGATAGAAACAATTTTTATTTTTTATTTTTTAAATAAAATAGGTTAATTACATAATTCTTTAGCATTAAAGATGATGTGAGACTCGTACAGTAGAGTATAATCGTGATTCTAATTCTTTAGCATTAAAGATGATGTGAGACTCGTACGGTAGAGTATAATCGTGATTCAAGATAATATTTTTTTATTTTTAATATCAATATATTAAAATAATCTCAAAATACTAAAAAAATATTAATTTATAATAAATAAAAAATTAAAATAATTTTAAAATAAAAAATAAACAGGATAATTTTAAAATATAACCCACCAATTCCTTTAAAATATCGAGAAGACTTATCTTGCCATCTCTGTGTTTTCTGTTGGAGGATCACTCGATAGCTGATGAAATTCACAGATTTAATTATTATGATTGTGAGTTTTTTGTCCATTTTCAATCAATTGCATCAATGCTTCTCTTCTTCAACCAAACTGTTAAAATTCCCAGCGAGAAGGTAGACTAGATAACCATGCCGTTGGTCCCCCTCTCACAGGGCTTCTCTGACTTCCAATGTTTTTTTTTTAATTTTTTCTCCTTTGATGTCTCAAATGTTCTTTCTTTCAAAATCCATGGCGTCTCTGAAAATGTTTGTGGCTCCCAAAATTATCTAGTTGTCTTGAACAAGCGTCCAAACTTTTATATAGATTTGTCTAAAACAACAAAAAAGAAAATAGAAGAAAATCTTTTTTCTTAGACATCTAGTTTGTATTATGCCACGAGTTGGGTTAATTTTTGCAAAAAAGAAAATAGAAGAAAATCTTTTTTTTTAAAGCACCTATTAGACATCTAGTTTGTATTATGCCACAAGTCGGATTAATTTTTGTAATATAAAAAAGTATTTAAACAATTATAATATTTTTTAAAAGAAAAATTAGGATTTAGTGTTGTTAATTTATATGAGTTTAATAAACTTGATTAATTTAATAATATAATTATATATATAAAAAACCCATGACAATAAAACAAAGAAAAATAATAATAACCGATTAAGAAAAAATAATACTTGCTAATATTGTAAAAGAATACCTATTAAATATTATTAAAATAACTTAACAATCTTATTTAATAATAAAAAAATTAATGAGAATGAGATAATTTTATAATGAAAAAAAATACAAAACTTAATTACTAGAAAATCAAACGCTAAAGAATGAAAAAAGAATAACTCTGTACAAAATAAATTGAATAAAACAATAAAAGGGGAATTGAAAAAAAATCGAGTCAACTTGGGTCAACTCAACTAACCCCGTGATCTGAGATATAAAATTAAAATAATTCCATAAAAAAAAAAGTCACAAAAATCACGAAGTTAAAGGACTAACAATATAATTTCGAAGAATAAAGATGGAAAAAAAATCAATAAAAAAATCTAAAAAACAAAATACAATGAAACTCATGACCTGGATCATGAAATTGAGTTACCCTATAGGAGAAAGACTTGAAAAAATCACGAAGCAAAATTTTAAATCATAATAAAAAAAAACAAATATGAATCATGAGAACATAGGAGAAAGACTTGAAAAAATCACGAAGTAAAATTTTAAATCATAAAAAAAAAATATGAATCATGAGAATAAGAGCCAAATCTAGTATAAAAATTAATGAAATGAAATAAGAAGGGATGAAATTGAAAAATAAAATAAATCAAGAAAAAAAAATAGTGAATTAAAAAACAAAAAATGAGTACCAAATTTAGTATAATAAATAAATAAAATAAAATAATGATGGATAAAAATGAAAAATAAAAAAAATCAAGATAAGGATAAAAAAAAAATTGCAATAAGAAGAATGAAGACTTAATATTATAAATAAAAAATTGAAGGAGGATGAAATTGAAAAAAATATATAATTTCATAAATTATTTCAAATAAAACAAAACAAATAATAATAAAAAGATTATTAATAAAATTCAAAGGAAAACAAATTGAAATGCTGCTTTGAAAAATTGCAGGGATAAAGTGTAGAAATTGAGTAAAAGAAAAAAAAATACCACTGACACTAATTCGATGGCTTGTTGACCACGTGTCATTCTAGAATAAGGAGGTTATTTAGACAATTCAAACACCACCTCAAAAGCAACTGTTTGGCTATCAAACCATCCCTCATGCACCGTTTGAATGGTGCAACCTTAACTTATATGTTGACAAGAGGATTGCACAGATCAGCCATCTTTGTTATAATAATATTTATATTTATTCAATTACTATATTACCACTTAATCAACTTATTATTATATAAAAAAACCATGATAAAAAGATATGAAAACTCTTGGATGTCACTTCAAAATTTTCTACTTTTAAAAATAAATAAATCACTTTACAATTTTTTAAAAACCCAAAAAAAGTCTTAAAAGCTAGGTTTTAAAAAAATTACTTTTAAAGATAATTAAGTCATTGTAGCATGATATCAAAAAGTGGAAAAACCTCTTTGACCTCATTCTCATTCAAGTTAAAGATGATTTTTTTATCATAAGAAAAAGATTATTCTACCCACAATAGGAATCTTAATAATTTTCATTTGAAGAAAAAATAATTATTTCAATACTCTAACTTATATTGTGATTTTAGTCTGGGTATATCATAATAAAACCAAACACTTTCAAGTTTTTCTAATTAGGTTAATAAGAAAAAGACTATCCTACTTCCAATAAAAAACTTGATAATTTTTTTTAAAAAACAAATTAGTTAATAAGAAAAAGACTATCCTACTTCCATAAAAAACTTGATAATTTTTTTTTTAAAAAAATTATCATTTCACTATTTCAATCCAGATATATAATGAAAAATTAATCACTTATATGTTTTTGTTAATGTGATATTCCCTAGACCGTTATAAACCTCCTCAACAAGAAAAAAAAAATAAAAATGAAATCTACATTTCTTTGTTACTTCCATAGCTTAGCAATGATTTTTTTTTTTTTTTCACCATCTCTTTCAAATTTGACACCTTCGAAAAGTCCCCCAGGGAGGAAATAGCCTCCCTTCAAGTTGTTTGTGTGGAGACCCCCCAACCTTTCGTCCCAACGGAAGATCTGAGGTAATCCACAGATAAAAAAGAGATCACATCATGACGGTGGTCCTGTGACAGCGGCCTGCATGCTCGCCCCCTGTGGGCCTCGCTTACGGACGTTGTATAACATTGACCGACTCATACTTCTCATGCACCATATAATATAATATAATATTATTTCACCATGCCAGCAATATTTGAATCTACAAATTACAATTTCCAAGTAATTGGACTGGTAAAATGGGCATTCAATTGCTTCTTTCTTTCATAACGGACATGGGATAGTGAAGGGAGAGATCTCATTGTGTTTCACTCTTCAAAGCTTAGGATATTTTAATTTAATGACACAGATCTTTTTTTTTTTTTTTATTAACATGGGGGCCCGGGCTAGCTTACGCGCACCACGACTAATCCCACGGTCCACTGGACATCCTGCAAGCCTCAGTGAACAGGTTAGGCACCGCGGGGGGGACAGGCGTACCACACAGTAAGGAGCTAGCAGAATCAGGAAGGACACCACTCGCCAGCCCCACTCCCACTGGGACTCAAACCGAGATTCGAAAGAAGGCGAGTAGCGCCTTACACCACTGAGCTACAAGCTACTTGGTTAATGACACAGATCTTGCTTTCATCAGAATTGGACTAAGTATGCTGTTTTGCTGAGAAATCAATAAATTAATGAGTAAGGTGTGCTTGAAAACACCGATAAAGATTGATTTTTACAGAATTTTTTTATTTTAAAATGGATTAAAATAATATTTTATTTTTATTTTTAAATATTAACATATCGAAACATCTCTATATATGATGGAATTTTAGCTATATTTTTTTTTTATAATATTTCTTGGATTTGGGTGCAGGGGAGGAGGATTTATTCCAATGAATTACATTTTAACTTAATGTCAATTGATGTATAAAATAATTTAAAGATCTAGAAGAATTTATTTATAATTGGAAAAGAATCTGTTTGTTTATATATTTTTTAAAAAATAATGTTTTTATATTTTTAAATTATTTTGATGTTAAAAATAATTTTTTAAAAATAAAAATATTATTTTAATATATATTTTAAAAATAATTATTATTACAATTTCGTAACTCACTTTTAAACACCATACCCTCTACTTTAGTGAGAATTGACATGAAAGAATAACTAAAATTGACGAGCACTGAAAAACAAGTGTCCAAGGAAAGCAGATCCATGTTTTGGCCACGAACAGAGGAGACATCTAAATTTAGCTCTAAGGTCGAAGGTCAAAAACTCACCCCCACTCTTTTCTCTCTCCTTTTTTTTTTTTTTTTTAAAAAAAAAAACCCAACACCATCGCAACACGGTTTTGACTCTTGAACAACCTTATTTACTTATTAAAAAAAAAAATCAAAATAAAAAAAATACAACCTTATTTACTTATTAAAAAAAAAAAAAAAATAGACAAAAACACAAACGCAGGACAGAACCCATTCTCTCCCTCTCCCTCGCCTTCCTGATCCATTAAAGGTAGAAGAAGAAGAAAATCTTGCAAAAGGAGAAAACCCATTAGAGCTGTATTGATGTATTGTTGCGTGTAAATAGAAACCCATTTTTTATTGTTATAATAATAGCAGGTGCTGCTGCTGCTGAATCTCCAATGCGGTCTTTGAAAAGACCACAAAGAAGGGAAGGAGAAAGAGAAATAGAAAGGAGAATAAGAGATAACAGCAGCAACATTACAGGAACCCAGAAGGGAAATCTTATCTGTGATAGGTGTGGATCTGATGGTGAGTTGGGTATTGTTGGAACAAGCGAGGAAGGAGCTAGAACTTGTTGCCTTTGCTAGGTTTGTGCTGGTGAGGCTGCATAGAAAAGGAATATGCAGCTTCACATCTCGCGTAGCATGAGAAGCATCACTATATCTTCTAGCTGCAACAATGGGTTTATTGACTTAATGAAGATCAAAGTCGCAGCTCGCCATATCTCTTATAGAACCCTTTTTCATACTATACTCATTCTCGCTTTTTTGTTACCTTTTGTATTCATTCTCACTGCTTTGGTTACCCTTGAAGGAGTCAACAAGTGTTCCTCATTTGGTGAGTTTTTTCTTTTGATTGGTTTTTACTTGTTTTCAAGGATTTTTGTGTTCAAGTGTCTGGGCTTTTTTTTGGTTATTTTGATTGTGATTGTTTCTTCATGTGTTGGATGGATCTTCATTTGATCTGGGTTGTGATTGCTTTCTAATCTCATGATCTTGTTATTGTTTCTATGTATGCATTTGGCTGTGATGTGTTTGGATCCTGATTTGATTTGGGGTACGGTTGTTTTTCACATGTGATGCATTCGTGTCTTGTTTTAATCACATTTTGTTACATCCATGCATATTTTTCATGAATGTGCCTTATGTTTGTTTTGAACATTGATGGTTAATATTTTCAATTTGCTTACCTCTTTTTTCTGCAATACTAATACCTTGTTCTCTCCGCTCATATACATGTTTAAATACACTCACGGATGGTATTCATTTGATTATGATTTTCGCATTTGTGATTGATATCAAGGGTGATGGATCTAATTCTGATTTAATAGCTCATTATATTTGTTGGCATAGAAATTTCTTGCAGCCGAACGTATTTTCAGCTGTTTAACTCGGCTCCGGATTTCTTGATCTAGCATGATTAATTCATGGATTTTTCCATTTCCATTTATTTTTCATGCATGTTCGCACGCTTCTAATAACCAATGAGGCTTTGAACTTGTAAATTTATTGGGGATAGATTTCAGTTCATTAATTTATGAATTCTGGGAGATCAGTATTGTTTATTGTTTATGATAAAGATGAGCTAAATAAAGATTTGATGGTGTCTTAATTAATAGCAATTCACTGATACTTCAAACTGAAGCAGACTTCTAAAAAACATAAAGTCACAATTTTAGATTAATTATTTGGTTCTCCTGGCTGTTTCATTTTTTTAATCCTTTTTTTTTTGTGAAATTTGTTTATCGTGTTTATAATTCAAATTACTGAAATGTTACAGAGCAATCTGGATCTGCTTTTAGATGTCTATACTTATTGGATCAGGGTCTAGGATCACAATTTCATGATGCTGCTTCTGTGTTTGTGGTGGATACTTAATTCTTGTTCTTGCTTTGCTTTTGCACCGCAGATTGTTTAGGTAGACGGTTAGGACCAAGGCTTCTTGGTAGAGTAGATGATTCAGGGGTAAGTAAGCCTTTTCCTTCATCCTTACTGTTTCAGATTAAGTTATTACCTACTCTCCTACTTTGTGTTAATGGTGTTATTACAAGTTGAATACTTATGCTGGTGGTAATGATGTAACAGAGGCTCGTTAAAGACTTTTACAAGATACTCAATCAAGTTAAAAACGAGGAAATCCCAGATGGTGTAAAGCTCCCAGCTTCTTTTAGCCACCTAGTTTCTGAAATGAAGAACAATCAATATGATGCAAGGACATTTGCATTCATGTTGAGGGCTATGGTATGTGTCAAGTTATTCAACATAGACGTAAATAATTTAAGATGTGGTTTGTTTCCTTATTCTTAACTTATTGGGAGGAGAGCAGTGTTGAAAAGTAGGTTTTAGCTTCATGGATCCATACTTGTTTCTGCATCATCTTTCATTTTGCTTCAAACTAGTTATATCCCTCAATGAGGGTTGAATCTATTACCAAGTATTAGACAGGAATTATATTTGAACTTTTTTTGTTCATGCCTATGTTCTTGTTTTCTGTTAATAGTAATCTTAACATTTGGGAGTTTTTAACTGGAGAAATATATGAAATTTGGGTGACACATCTTATTAGTAGTTATTAGGATTTTTTGTTTGCCTGCAAAAGAAAGAAAAGGGATTCTAAAGAGGGGTATAAAATATATAATACCTGAAATCTTGTCCCTGTGTATTCTATCAAATAATGATTTGCTGGAAGGGATCTCTGCATGGTTCTATGAACGATTGCTATTAAATTATCGTATGCTACAATGTCATGGACAACTGAAGAGAAGATCTAAAAGAATTAGAGCTATTGCTATTCAATTATTGCTTGCTGAAAAATGAATTATCAGTTTCATCCACGAATACCTTGTTTTATGTCTTGACTGAAAAAGAGTAATTAAAAATGAAATGCCAATTCAATCTATCTTGAACAATTTAGCTGATTCTAATTCCCACTTATAGAAGACCATTCTAAACCTAAAAAATTCCATTGGATGATGGATTTCAAGTAGATATATGTTTATGCCCCACTCCAGGTCTGATCTCTTCAATTGTAGGCTATAGATCACTAATTCTATCTTCAAACTTACACTTGATTCCCAATCAATCAGCTTTTTTCATTAAGAATGTGATAAAGGAGGTAGCCCTAGTTTTGAGACCTTTCATGCCATGCTGCTTTTATATCAACTATTGTTGTTGCTTATTTTTTGCATGACACTCTCCTTGGTGAGTGTCTGATATTGAGTTTTGATTTATTGTTTGCTTGGCATCTTGGTCAGGTTGACACAGGATTGTCCACAGGACGTCTTGTTGCATTTCTATTCTCTAGGTTGTTCTGTTGTGAGAATCTTCTATTGTTGTGAGGCTTTAATTATTTTTTGACTGTGGAGATACCATTAATTGTTTATTGATGATGTGCTCTTAGAATTAGTTTGTTGGAAAAAGAAGAGCGACACAAATTCTTGACCCTTAACTCATGACCTGCTGACATGGACGAGTAAATTCTATCATTTTTATACAGGCAAGGAAGCTATATGTTAGAGGTTGGATCCTACTATTTAAAAATGAAAAGATAAAACATTATTATGATATTGTTGTTATATCAGAATTACTTTTTCTGGAAGAAGGAAAAATTAAGAAGAGCAAAAATGAATTAACATACTTAATGATTCATTATATGAACCAATGAAAGCAAAAATCCAACATGTTATTTTTGTAATTATTACTGTATTTTCTTTTTCTAGGTCTTAATCCTTTTATTTGATTAATTTTTAATTCAATACGAGTACAATGTTGGTGTGGGTCAAGAGTTGGAATCAAGAGTTTGGGTCACTTGTGGTTTGCAGCCGCCTTTAATGGTTATGATCCCTTTCACGCACAAATACATATTTTTAAATTAAGTTATTTTGTGGGCCAACTTGCTATTAATATGACTTTTCATTATTCAATATTAGATTGAATTATTCTACTCAACTTTGATAGAGCTCAAATGGTGCAGTCATGGTACTAATACGTTTGTATGTTTTAAGTTTGGATCCTTTAACTGCAACACGTTCATGCTACTCTGTGTCATTGAAGTGGGATGTGAAATTTTTTATTTGCTTTCTTTTGTTATGTCTTTGATTGATCCATCGATTTCATTTTCATTCTCTTTTCTTGTTATCCTTTATTCGCATATATGCATAAATTCATATGTATAGAGAGGGCATTTACCCATGCCACTCCAATAGAAAATAAGAAATAAAAATCTGCTGGGTCGTGAAGAAATATTTTCAACTAATGTCATTCTTTTTTTTTTTTTTATCTTTCACAGATGGAAAAATTGGAAAGAGAAATTAGGGAATCTAAATTTTCAGAGCTGATGAACAAACACTTTGCTGCAAGTTCCATCCCGAAAAGCATCCACTGTCTCTCTCTACGTCTGACTGATGAATATTCCTCCAATGCTCATGCACGTAAACAATTACCTTCTCCGGAGTTCCTTCCTCTGCTCTCCGACAACTCTTTCCACCACTTTATCCTCTCAACTGATAACATTTTGGCTGCCTCAGTTGTTGTCACTTCTACTATCCAGTCATCTTTAAAGCCTGACAACATAGTTTTTCACATCATCACTGACAAGAAAACCTATGCGGGCATGCACTCATGGTTTGCGTTAAACCCAGTCTCCCCTGCTATTGTGGAAGTGAAAGGTGTTCACCAGTTTGACTGGTTAACAAGAGAGAATGTTCCAGTGCTTGAAGCTGTAGAGAACCATAATGGTATCAGGAATTATTACCATGGGAATCACATTGCAGGGGCAGATCTTAGTGATACAACTCCACGAAGATTTGCTTCAAAATTGCAGGCTAGAAGTCCAAAGTATATATCGATACTCAACCATCTTCGGATATATATACCTGAGGTGATCTCATATGAAGTTTATCTTTTCTGTTGTCGTACTTGGAGATTATGAATTATGATGCCTATGGTCTATTTTAAAATAATCAGGGACATAAGATGTTAAAGGGTAAAAAAAGCAACCAAAAAATTATGATGCTAGATGTCATGAGGAAATGTACTTGTGATTATTTCATGTGCACATAGGTAGAAACCACCTGATCTCACTTGGAAAATCTAGTCTTTTACCAGCCATAACAAATGAGGATCTAACTTTAGTAATCTTGAAAGCATCCAGGATTGTTGTGGGAACATTCATTGATTTGTATCGGGAGTGACCCTGTGAATTACTGAAGTTTCTAAAATTTTTAATATATTGAAATATGAATAAAATGTGATGCTTACAAATTGAAAAAAGAAGATGGCTATGGATAACAAATGATGATTTACTGAAAGTAAAATGCTTTCTTTTGGATTGAAAAAAGAGAGAATATACTAAAGTTTGATGATTATGTCACATGTCCAATGGTAACAAAAATCTCTGAATTCCTTTCATTTCTAACGGCAGTGTTAATCTCCCAAGAACTATTGTATCATTAGTCCAACCTTTGAGGTTTGCCATGGTTTCTGCAATTTTGTTTTGTGCTAGATTTATTTTTTCATCATCTGTTGGCTCAATATCTTTATGCTGATTGGTTATGTTGAACAGCTCTTTCCAAACCTTGACAAGGTGGTGTTTCTAGATGATGATGTCGTAATCCAGCGTGATTTGTCTCCACTTTGGGAAATTGACCTTAAGGGAAAGGTCAATGGAGCTGTAGAAACTTGTAAAGGTGAAGATGAGTGGGTAATGTCCAAGCATCTCAAGAACTACTTCAATTTTTCACATCCCCTCATAGCAAAGAATTTGGACCCTGATGAATGTGCATGGGCATATGGAATGAACATATTTGATCTCCGCGCATGGAGGAAAACAAATATTAGAGAAACCTACCATTCCTGGCTGAAAGAGGTAAGCTCACCTGTTCCTGCCACCACCTTTTTTTGGTCTAATAAAACTCTAGGATAATATTAAAGACACTTTCACTAGCATGCTCATGCTGTGATATTTGCTATCATATGCGGTCAGTGACTCATTAAATGTGCTAACAGGTAACCTTGATCTCTAAAATTGTTATGTGAGAAGCATTGCACTAACAAACAAGCGTTACAAACTCCAGCTTTAAAAAAAAAATATCAATATGAGAAGGACCACTTCGGTAAACAACCTTCATCATCATCATCATATTCTTTCATTTATGAAGTATTGTTTTTACTTGCTTGTGTGCTCATCGCCTGTCATTGGCTCTGTGCACTCTTAATTTGTTTGTGAGTACATCACTTCATGGTGTTTCTCCCTACAACATTTCAGATATATTCTAGTTTATAGTTCATATTAGTTGATTTTCAGAATGTTAGTCAATTATCTAACTTACACGTGGATCTAAATTCTGGATGAATATCAAACACCTCAAATACAAATATTTCGTGTTGGGTTATTCTTGTATGCACTGAATATTGGTGAGGTTGTGCTTATAGTGATTTGTATATAACTGTAGGCAAATAAGAGATGCTTCGCCACTGTTTTTCTCTTATTCTGGGTTTTGTTTATGTAGAACCTGAAGTCAAACCTGACAATGTGGAAACTCGGAACCCTACCACCAGCTTTGATTGCATTTAAAGGTCATGTTCATCCAATTGATCCATCCTGGCATATGCTTGGGTTGGGATACCAGAATAAGACAAACATTGAGAGTGTAAAGAAGGCTGCAGTTATCCACTACAATGGTCAGGCAAAACCTTGGCTGGAAATTGGCTTTGAGCATCTTCGACCATTTTGGACCAAATATGTGAATTACTCCAATGATTTTATAAGGAACTGCCACATCCTGGATTCAGTTTGATCAACCATATGGGCTAGAACTAGAAGTGGAACGGAAAAAGACAAGTGATTTGGTTGGCATGTAAGTTTTTTCGTGGTTGAAAATTTTCTCAAGGTCTGCTTGAGAAGGCAAGTAGAAAATCATCCAGAATGGGAGCAGAGTTTCAGGTCTGAATTCTCTGTCATACCTCGTACGTTTGCAGCAAAGGGCCTGATCACCAGCACGGGCATTGGATTCTTTCTTTCAATCTTTAACGTAGCAATCCATCATTTATTTCTTGGTTGGAAAATTGATACTATTAATGGTCTTCCTGCAGAAAGTCTAGTCTGATTTCCTGGCACTTGTATTAGAATAAAGCAAATTACACAAGTTAGAAAGTGCATATGCCAATGCGCCATAGTGCTTGGTGCAGGAAAGAGGAAGGCTAGGGCAGATCTACAGTGAGGGCTCCAGCATTGGTCTACAAATGTTTCTTCACTTGATTTTTTCCCTCTTGTTGTCATTTTTGCTAGTACCTCCCCATTTTTTCCCCTGTCAATTTAATATCAAGGTGAAACATAGGAGTAGGTAATGGAGATTGCTTTATTACAGGTCCCGTTAAATTGGGGAACTTTTTAGGTTATATTTCAGTAGTTGTTATGTACGCGATTCATGAGAAACATTAAAATGTGCAGAAAATTCTTTTTTTTCTTCTAAGATTCTGTTTCTCTTTGTATCCTTGAGCATTCACTGTTTATGACATGTTTTAACATCCATGATGCCAATGTTAGGTCGCCCAAAACCCCATCACAGCTCTCATGAGCGCCGCCCCCCCGCCTCCCCTCTTTTTCTGGCGTCATTGTATTAAAGAAACCGTATAAAATACCAGGGGTATACTCTGAAAAATATAAAGGTCCCTACCCGGATCATCGATCAACAACAACTATAGTTTCTGGACAACTTAAATTAGAATCGATGAACTATAGTTTCTGAAAAAACCAAATTAAGAATCGATCAAGAGTAACCCAGTAACCTAAATGTAACTAGAGGGCCATCTAAACTGCGAAAACATGCGTGCAGGTCCGTGATCAATTATATACTATTTTCCTGTGCAGAATAATTAACTTTCGAGGCGGCATTCCATATTTTGCATGCAGACTGCGTCTCATTTCCTTCTTGGGAAGAACATTGTGCATGACGATACCCTAAAGGAGGAGATAGTCGCGTAAAGACACAAATCTTGCGTGCAATAATTTCTTTAGCAAACAAAAGATTCTTGTTGTTCATGGAATTTCCTCAGTTGATGATGACAAGAAATCCATTTATTTGTACGATCATCTTTTTCTAAGCATCCAACAACCGAATGTGGCAGCTCTGATCTTTCAAGGCAGAGGTTCCTTGTGCCTAACGCATCCAGATTATCTTAAATGCCCCACTCCACATCTGATTAGACCTCTCTTGGAATTTTGCTTTTCTTATCTTTATATCATTAAATTAAATTAATTAAATACCAAGGGATGACCAGGTTGGTTAGTGTCCTTTGCCTGCATCATTAATAAGCTTATTTTGATTCTTCGAAAGTTTAAAGTGGAAGAATCTGGAAGTTTCGTTGACATCACATACACGTCTACTTGATCAAAATATTAATATATATATTATTTAAATATTTTATAATTTTAATTTTAATTTTAAAATATTCTTAACCAATCACATTATATTATTTTTTATTCATCCTTAAATTTAACTAAATATATATAAATATCAAATCAATTTCAACTAAAAATATTTTTTATAAAATAATTTTTTTCCACAACAACAAAAATTACAACAATACCAAACAAAACAGAAGTAAATACTTATCATCATCAAAACAAGTAAAGGAATTATATTTCATGTTTTTTTTTGAGATAATAGTTGTTTTTTTAAATAATTTTTATTTTAAAATATATTAAAATAATAATTTTTTAAATTTTTTAAAAAATATTTTTAATATTAATACATCAAACAATTTAAAAACATAAAATAAATTAAATTTTAAATTAAAAAAAATTCAAATCTCACCCAAACGCTATACAAGACAAAACAGGCCTCCTTGACAGGGTCCTGATAAATCCTCTGGTCAGAGTTCACATGATCAAATCATCTCTCTTACATTAATGTGATGCCTTCAGTTTTGACCATTCTAAGAACACAGCTTCATATGTCAGCAAATTGTACATAACAACCTTGTATTGCTTCATTCTTTTTATTATAATTTTATTAATTTCAGATTGGAGGACTAATTAATAGATACATCTGTTACATGCTTAGCAGCCATTAATAATTTAGTGCACTATTTCAAACTTAAATTGACAATCTCCTATCTTGATGTTCAATGCTCCAGAAACAGCCCTTCTCTTCCCAAAATTCTGCATTTGCAAAGAATAAAGTTTGATGCTGTCCAATTAGCAGTCACATATTTTGGTGGAAGCTAAAACACAAGATTACTATACGTTTTATCTCGTCTGAAGCTATAATTTTAAAGATATTATGAATTGTTATAATGTGTTTAATAAAAAAATTTACGTTTTATCTCGTCTGAGGCTATATTTTTAAAGATATTATGGATTGTTATAATGTGTTTAATAAAAAAATTTATTTTGATTCTTTAATTTTATTTTTACATGTTTTGTCCCTAGAGTTTTAGGTTTTCTTGTTTCGGTTCTCAAAATTTATTTTTATTATATTTTAGTTATTAAATTCTAGAAAATAAGAAAAAGCTACTGGAATTATATTTTAGTTTTCAAGTTCCAGAAGATGAGAAAAAACTACTGGAAAAAAAGAAGAAACTTTTTTTCTAAGAGATAATAACTGAATAGAGGTAGTTTTTCTCCTTAACCAAAAATGAAATAATAGATTGGGAACTATAAAGAATATTATTGTTTGATCTTGAGCTTTTAGAGTAATTAAATATTATTTTAGTTCAGGAAATATGATTATTGAAATTTTTATAATATTTTTCATATTTTGTTTAAGTAAAAATGAATTGAAAATTTGATTTTAAAGTCCTATACTTAAACCTTAATTTGGTGATCGAAAAAAGTTATAATAATACATGATGATGTGTCATTCTTGTTATGCTAAGAAAATATATTGTCCATCATTTTCTTTTCAAAAAAGAAAAAACTAGATATGCGGACATGTCCTTCAAACTCATGCATACCTGACCTTTTTTTAAATGGACTTTTATCTTTTGTTTTCTGGCTCTTTTTTATTTACTAAAATTCTCTTTAAATAAGATTATTAAAATGATATTTTAAAAAAAATCTGATCATGCTCTAAATTTCAAATTATATTAGAGTTTTTTCAAATAATATTAATAATTATTTTATGACTAATTTTACATGAAAATTGAATTATTCGTTCTTTAAATGGTCGTATAAAAATTGAGACATTATTTTTGGTTTTCTGATTGAAAATTATTTTTCAAATCATGATAAGTTTTTATATAAAGAACCAAGTTTTGATAATAAAAAAAAACATTGTTCGTCAAAATTAAAAAGAACTGAACAAATAATGAAAAGGAGTTTTGTCTAAAAAAATAAATTTTTTACTCCTAAATTTAAATCATTTCAATTCTGACAATTCCTATTTTAAATATTTTAGATTTGTATTTCAAAAATTATTTTGTTGATAAAAATGGAAGTTGTTGTAACCCATTTTTTACCTCACGAAAACTCAAGAAAAGAAAAAAAATAGAAAAAGAAGATACAAAATACAAGAGGATATATATTAAGAAATTTTAGAAGAATGTTCAAGCTGGTGATGAAGGATCAAAATAACAAGTAAAAAAGTTGGAGGACCAAAATGTATATGATTGATAAATTGACAACCCAAATTAATTTTATTAAGGACTTATTATAAGAAAAATTAAGATTTGAAGTTAATTTATGCTTTAATTGGAAGAAATTAAAATTTGAGGGTCGAATTGTAATTTTAAAGAGTTAATTTAATCAAATCAGGGGCTTAATAGGATAAATATTGAAGTTTGATAAGCAATTAGGGATTTGGTTGAAGAAATTCAAAATCAAGGACTAAACTGAAAAAATAAGTGAATCAAGGGTTGAAAACGATCAAATCAGGAGTCAAATTAAAAAAAATAAAAGTTTGTTGATCAATTGAGAATAAAAATGTATAATCTCACAACCAATGACTAAAATGAAACAAATGATCAATTTTGAGGTTGAAAATTAAGTTTGACAGGAGTGAAATTGCATGAAATTAAGAGTTTAGGAAGCAATTACATGTGTAATTAAAAGCAATTGAAGGAAAAAGGTCTAAATTGAAATTTACCAATATCCCAAATTTAAAATCTTAATTTTTAGGGTTTAGCCTAGGTAACACATCATGTGGTTGGATGTGACATTTTCAACTACCTCAGGAGTTCTAACCACCATCATTTGATTGAAAAACACTTGCTCTGTAAAGATCAGCTACTCCTATCAAACAATTACATCTTATTTTCTCTAATGATCTAAACAATATCTTATTCTCAATCAGCCTTACACATCGACAAATTGTAGGTTGATCAAGGTTACACTTTCAAGCAAATGAATATGAAACTACAAGTCTTCAAGTCAAGCAAGATTGGATCTGAATGAAAGGTGTGCGATCTACCAACTTCAGGTGGTCTTTAAAAACGATAACGTCGGAGTTGCTTTGACAAAGCCTTGAAATAGGTAACTTGATTATTGATGGTTATGATACTTATTTCTCAAAATCACTAATCTTTTTCATGTGTTCATACTTCAAGCCTTCTCGGTCAATTTTTATCAAAGGTTACCCACATTTCTCTCAAGATCATAAGGCTATAAATAAGCCTTTTGGTCTCCAAGTATAGGAAAACAACCAAATCTTTAAAATTATATTTGTTGCAAAACCACCATTATAAAACCAATTTAGGTGCAAAGCTTACAGCTATAAAACGCATAAAAAAATCTCTTATTTTAAGTAGAAGTTTGAGCTTTGATGAAGAATAATTAATATTTAATTAAACTCTAACTTAAAGCCATATAAATACACCTGCAAATTCAAGGTAGAGGAGCAATAACAAAGAGAGAGGAAGATAGGATAAAAGAATTTCAAGTGTGAAGGTTTAAAAGCTGAGCACAAATATTTCCTTAACTTTAAGAGAAAGTAGCAAGTTTGAAAAAGAAATGGCAACAACTATATTGAAAGGTATAAAAAAACTCTTCTAGTTTAGTAGGTGATGTCCATGAGGCATACCTCTAGCTCTTCATTACATGTTTTAATGGTGTTTTAAACTTGTGTTTGTTAATATATTGTAATGATATTGTATTTTGATTAATACATGAAATGTTTCTTTTCTTTACTTGATTTTGATTTGAGTTGTTTGTTACTGTATACTAGATGTTTAGGAAATATTTTGATGTTTATTTTGTTGAAAAAAAATAGTTTTTATTTTTTGCCAAATATGGTAATATGTGTTTGAAGGTTTTTTTTTCCTGTTTATTAGTATATTTTTTTTAATTTTTGAACTTGAATTTGATCCCAAGTTGTTTAGAGAGTCCATATTGAATTGAGATTTGATATTGTAGTTGGCTATCATTACGGATACAATTATGAAAGTGGAATCTAATGTATGATTTTATATTTTTTTATTAATTCTTTTTGATTCAATTATGTTTGGTATTAGTAATGTGGTTTGTGAGAATAAAAAATA